GCGCATGCATATATATGTGTGCACGTGGAAGTGTGTGTGTGTGTGTGTGTGTGTGTGTGTGTGTGTGTGTGAGAAAATGCTGTTTTCAATCCTGGACAGACAGGGCCTTCTTTGCTTGGGTTATGATTGTTTTGGCACAAGTACATGTTTATTTTTTTCCTGAAACAACTAATTTAGCCTAGCAGAGATCAATGGGATTAATGGGCAGCAGAAGAAATCGCAAACCCTGGTGTCAGTTCAATTCGATTCACAGGAAATCAGCTCCATTCAATTCTTAGTGAGTTGGCCCGGGGGTGGAGCCTTAGCACCAATGACCTGGCCAGAGCCCAGGCTGGCTGTGGGGAAAGCCCTTGGTAGTGCCAAGTCCTCGGCACTGCCTTCACCCAACTGTAAGACGGAAATGGGGAGATCCCAAGACCAGAGAGGAGAAATTATAAGTCTATAAAACCCCTCAAATGAGGTAATATTTGTCAAAACAAAATCAAAGCCCAAACCACTTAGCACAATGCCTGGCATGCAGTAAGTGTGATATCATTGCTTATTCTCTTTCCCTATTCGCATTCTGATCAAATGCCTGGGAGGCAGTGTGTTATATTGGGAGGGGGGTTAACTCCCCGACAGCATTGGATTTGTAACGCTGTGGTTAGAGCGCGGCCTGGAGTTAGGAAGACCTGAGTTCAAATTCCTAGCAGTGCGACCCTTGACAAATCACTTCACCTGTCTGCCTTGGTTTCCTCATCTGTAAAACAGGGATAATAACAGCACCTACCTCGGAGGGTTGTTGTGAGGATCAGATGAGATAATATTTGTAAAATGTTTTATCAACCTTAAATCGCTATATCAAGGTTAGCGTTGTTCAGTCATTTCAGCGGTGTCTGACTCTCCGTGACGCCATTTTGGGTTTTCTTGGCAGAGACACTGGAGTGGTTTGCCATTTCCTTCTCCAGCTCCTTTTACAGGTGAGGAAGATGAGGCAGAGTTAAATGACTTGCCCAGGGTCACACGGCTAGGAAGTGTCTGAGGCCAGATTTAAACTCAGGCCCTCCGCCTCCAGGCCAGTCACTCTATCCACCACCTTGATGCCCGATGCTTCCTGCTACTATGATTCCTCTGCCTTCTGCGCCTGCCTCAGTGTAGCCTCCTCCAAATTCTAGCTAGCCTCCCAGCCACATTCAAAAGCCACCTCTTCCATGAAGCCTTCCATGGTTCTCTAACCAGAAGGGACCCTCCTGGCTTTTAGCCCCTTATGTTCTTAACTATACAGAAAGCCTTCTCTCCATCCATCCAGCAGCAGAGATGGGGGGGGAGGTCCATGCAGAGGCGGAATCCCAGCCTCTAAAGTACATCTGCGAGGCCAGGGCAGAGAGACAAAGAGATGCAGAGCACAGTGCCAGGCACACAGCAGGCGCTTGAAGCCTGTTGACTGGTTGACTAATAGACTGTTAGGAAGGGACAAAGAAAGTCCACCCCCCAAGTCGTGGGTGTGAATTCTGAACATGTGGGACCCACCCAGCCCCAGGCTTGTCTATCCCCAGCTTCCTGGTTTTGTCTCCCAACATGACTCCAGGGTTCTTGTCAGGGACGGCATCAGGGAGTTCCACTGGGGGGGTGGGCGACCAGGCAAAATGTTGCCCTGGCCCCCCCCCCCCACCAGGCTCAGTGCTGCTCCCGGTGCTGGGCCTGAGTAATTATAGCTCTGACAAGATAATCTAAGCCCGAGCCCAGGCTCCACCGTTGGCTTCTGCCTGGCTGGGGGCAGCTCTGTTGGGGGTCCTGACTTAGGACTGCGGGAGGTCTGGGGGCCATCTAGCCCACGCCCCCCATTTTACACAGGAGGAAGCTGAGTCCCCCAGGGGCTAAATGACCTGCTCACGGTCACCAAGGCAGGAAGAGGCAGAGTCGGGGCTCCCGAGCAGCTCCCGCTGCCCGGGCTGGGCCCCCTTCCTCCCAGGGGTCTGGACTGGACACACGGAGGCAAAGGCAACAGCTGTCCATGGGGCCTGATTTAAGGGACAGATTCCTCACCTTCCATTAGCCTGCTGCTAATGCCTGAAATTCTACCAGGAAGGATGGATTCTGTTAGGGTATACTTAGAAACACTGCACTGATGGGGGGAGGGCGGGCATGCTGGAACAGGGGATGTCAGGGCTGGGGGAGAGCACAGAACATGGCCTCCTAGAGCCAGCTCTCCTAGGTCCTCGGTCTGCCCGCCGGCCTCGAGGCCCAGGAGCAGCCTTGGATGCTGGAGGGAGGGGCTGCTCTAAGGTCAGGGGTCCACTCAGCGGCAGGGGCACCACCGATTGCCCAGTCTTGCCTCGGGGCTGCTCCTCCCCCAGCTTTTGGGTCAAGGTGCCAGATACCATCATTCTTTTGGTCCAGGACACACACGTTCCCCTCCTCCAATATCCATGAGACTCGTTGACTCCTTAAAGTGAATTTAAAGTTTCATTTTGAGAATTTGGAGAGAAAAGTGGGATCTCCAGGAGCTAAACGGAGGCCCGGGCAAGTGCCCCCCAACCCTGCCCCCCTCCCCAGCATCCTGATTCCCCCCAGCACTTAGCGCTTACTTACTGACACTCCACAGCTCCCCACCCCCCCCAATGCTCTCAGCCTGCACACCACCTCTGGATTCCTTTTTTTCAACTTGGTGAAAAAATTTAGGAAGAAGGGGAGGAATCCTCAGGCAATTCACAAGCATTTATTAGGTGCCTACTGTGTTCCAGGCATTGGTTACATGCTGGACACAGAGACAAATCCCTGCCCTGAAGCTCTCATTCTAGCATCCCAGAGGGAAGGAAGGAAGGGAGGGAGGGAGGAAGGAAAGAAGAGAGAAAGAGCGAGGGAGGGGAGAAGGAAAGAGAAGCCAAGAAAGGAAGGAAGCAAGAAAGGAGGAATTTTTTTGTTTTTGGCTAGGCAATGGGGTTAAGTGACTTGCCCAGGGTCACACAGACAGTGAGTGTTGTGTCTGAGGCCAGATTTGAACTCAGGTCCTCCTGACTCCGAGGCCAGTGCTCTATCCAGTGCACCACCTAGCTGCCCCAGAGGGAGGAATTATTAATTCCCTACGTACAAACACTGTCCTTAGGCACTTTTCATATAATGTCTTCCCCGAGCTTTACATTGATGCCAGCACTTGGCATGGTGCTCCAGACACAGTAGGGACTTAATTAGTGCAGTATGGTTTTTCAAAGTCAACTTTCATCGAGAGGATCTGAGCTTGGGTGCCACCATGATCCCCCCCACAGCTGTGTGACTCCGGGTGGCAGAGGACAGGCTGACTGCACTGGCAAAGGTCTATCTCCTCCCCAGGAGCTCCCCATCCCGGACGTCTCAGGTCCCCCTTCTGCTTGCCACAAGGTCGGGCCTCTCCCATCCTTGAGGCTGACAGGTTTCCCAGAAGCAGACGCGGTGGGTCACAGGGAGAGCAGTGCCAGGGCCCTTGTTCAGGAAGGGCCCTCAGCTGCCAGGTCCAGCGGGTCGTCACCCGCTGCCAGAAGGCTCTGGCAGTCAGGCCGAGTGCCATCTGTTGGGACCTGCCCTCAGCCCGAGTTACAGGGAGGTGGAGAGGAGGAGTTGGCTGAAAGAAGAGGCCTTGGCCAGCTGTCCCTGCTGATCTCGTGCGGGGCCCACCCAGCTCAGCGGGCAGACAAGCTACACGGACTGTGGAGGGCTCGGGGAGCCCGGGGCCCCAAGCTGCAGTCCCCTGAGCACCCAAGCTGGCCCAGGGGCTGCTCATGGGACTGGGCCTCTCCTGCTGCACCTGTCATTATCTAAAGGGAGAACGGAGGGGAAAGGAAGGAGCCCGTCAAAGGCAGAAAAGGAGGAAACTTCATGGGATCCCTAAACCCAGTAAGAGGGAGATGGAGATACAAGCGGTCCCCCTGCCGGGCCACAAGCATTTATTAAGCGCTTACTGTATGCCAAACGCTTTGCTGTGCTAAGCTCTGGGCGTACAAAGAGGACTTTCTCCTGTGCTCCAGGAGTTCACGACCTAATGGCATTTATTTATTTATTAAGAACATGCAAGAGTGGAGAGGACAGCCTAGCAGCCTCTGGGAGGCCTGGGAAAGGCTCCTGCTGAGGGTGAGATCTGAGGGGCTGTATGGAACCCATGGAGTCATGGAGGGGCGGCCAGGGAGAAGGCATCTGATGTGACAGAAACCCCCCAGGATCGATGGCAGACAGGCCGGCGGGTCAGAGGGGGGCTGTGAAGGGCTCCACGTGCCACACCCAGGCTTCTAAACTGATCCCAGAGGCGATAGGGAGCCATGGGGTATGGTAGAGCAGGGCCGGAGCTCTTTGGAGAACTGTTGGTGCCTCAGGCTATCTCCTCCTAGTAAAGACCCTCTCATCTACCCTGGCTTGCCTTGGTCTTCGCATGTAGACAGTCATTGGGGTTCCCCTCCCGACCCCAGGCGTTTCTTGACCTTTAGGAGTGGGGCCTGTGTGCAAAGCGCACAGTCTAAGCCAGAGGAAGGCTGTAACAAAAGCATTTCAGGGTCGGATTCCTGTCATCAGACGTGGAGATTCTGTCTGCATTCTGGGGGCCCCTCTCCACCAGGGCTGTTTAACCTTTTGGGGGGCAGGGACGCCTTGGACCCCTTCTCAGAAAAACAGCTTCAAATACACAGGATCACAAAGGAAACCACAGGTTAGCGAACATAGAAAGACGTCCTTTTTTCCCCATCCAAGTTCACAGAACCCTTGAGATGTAGCCACAGACCCCAGACTCCTGCCCTAGAGGCCCCACAGGGCTGGCAGGACCGCCCAGCCGACACCAGAGTGCCTTAGGATTCGGACGTCGAAGGGACACCAGAAAGAGGGGAGGTCAGGAACTGGCCCCCGGAGACAACGCGCCTGAAAGCAAACCTGGCATTCCAAGCCAAGCTTCTTGGGATCCTCAGACCAGGAGCCCCCCCATCCCTTCGTCGCGTCAGCGGCTCCTCGCCTCGCCCCGAGCTCCACGCTACCCAATTCAATGACCAGACAAAGCGGGTAAGTAACATACTAACTTTTTTAATACAGTCTGATCAGATCAAATCACATCACTGGGCAAAACTGGGTTTATTTCAACGCAACATACGAGTGGTACAGTGTCCCCCAGCTCCTGGCTTCTCCCATCTTTGGGGTACCCAGATAGAAACCACACTTCTACCACCCCAACCAGACTGGCATTTTTTTTTTAAATTTTGCATAAAACTATTTCTTCCATAGACTTAAAACCATCAACTAGCCAAGTTATTATTTATGATACGCCTAAAAAAATTTTAATACTAACCCTAATGTGACTGCTGCTTAAAAAGAGCTCTGTATATCACCTGGACTGGCTTTCAGTAGCAATTCACTACAACAGGTCCTAAAAATAATAACAATAATAATAATAATTAGAGAATCAAAACCCGACAGCAAGTTGAATGGTCAAAGTTGCAAGAGAACTGGCTTGGGATGTTGGGTGCCCTCGGCAGCTGGAGCCTCCCGGCCTCTGGGGGGCTGGGGGGCTGGGGAATCTCGGAGCCCCCGGCCCAGCTTCTCTGAGAGTCTCTGAGGAGGATCACGGCACCGTGGTCGGCTAGATGCTACAGGCTTCCGGAGTCCTTCCGAACAGCTGGGAATTGATCAGTGTTTGCAGGTGGGTGGAAAACTTACTGCGGTTTCTTGGGTGGAAGGAGGGAGGTCGGGGAGGGAAAGATGGAGGGCAGGACAGGGGAGAGGGCCCCGGGACGCCGCGGGGAGTCGGCGCAGGAAGCCGGTCCAGGCGTGGCCTCGGAGACGTCTGTAGTGTTTGGCGGCCCCGTGTCCTAACCCTCGTCCTCGGCCGCAGAGACGTCCCGTACGGCTTCGGTCTGAGAAGCTACTTCTAAAGAGCTTTTAGGAATGGGGTGGGGGGCGGAGGGAGGGAGTCTGGGGATTAAAAATGAAGAAAAATCTCTCAGCTACAGAACCCGACGGCATCGCTTCCTTCCCCGTCCTCAGCACCGCGCCGCCGCTGCGTCAGGGCGGACAAGCCGGCCTCACTTTCCCTCCGGCCCCATGGGCTGCTGGTCGACCTCCGGGTCTACGAGCGACGAAGCGAACGCAGACTGCACGATCTGAAAGCCGAAGGACTCCAGGAGGGACATGTTCTGCTGGGGAGAGAAGGGGGAGCCCAGGGCGGGGCCCAGGTCCCCCAAGGGCCCCCCGAGGGCCCGCACATGCACCTTCTGTATGTGTTTGTTCAGGTAGGACTTGGACCGGAAGAAGCTCCCGCACTCGGGGCACGGGTACTTCTTCTCCCCGTCGGGCTCCATCTTGTTTTTGGGGACGGCCATGTCACAAGAGAAGGAACCGTTGGCGCTCTGCTTCTCGGGGGTCTTGAGGTCGCTGGCATCCGAGAGGTCGCCGTAGGAGTCAGAGCTCTCAATCGGGTCCTGATGTGAGCATTTCTGGCCTTCTACAAACAGAACAAGACAAAACACACAGATGAGGCCAGGCTTTGGAAAGGCCCCTTCCTGGAGGGGACCGGGGGCTCAGACTAGCAAGCGTGGGCTGGGATCTGGGGGCTGGGGGCAGGGGGCTGGCCAGCAGGTGGTCAAGTCAAACGCGGCCCCAGAAGGGCCCCAGGAGGCCTAACCGCTCAATCCGTGGGCCAAGCACCTGTGAGGAAAGGGATCAAGAGACCCCCAGAGATGCCGCTTTCCTCGCTAGGGCCTTCTCTGCCCATGCCCTCCGCCTCGTCCCCACCTCAGCCCGAGGCTGGGATGGAGAGCAGCGGAGACAAATCTACAGTCCCTAAACACCTGCCAACAGCCAGGTCTGGGCTGCCCCCCTCGCAGCTCAAGGACACAGAAGAAGGCCATCCACCAACAAACACCATTCACGGAGGCCCCCGGCCCAGCACGACCTCCTAGCGGGACAGGAACATCCTGCCTGGGCTGCCAAGCTCGGCTCGCCCACACCTCAGCCCCAGGAAGAGGAAGCACTGGTTACCCCGAGAAAGCGAAGCCCAGAGCCCCGGGGTCCGCCACAGGACCCTAGGATTGCGAGCTCCAAGACGGACCTTGGCGATCATCCCGTCCAAGCCCCTCACTCATTTTACAGGGGAGGAAACGGAGGCCCAGAAAATTGGAGCAACTCGCCCAACGTCACCGAGGTGGTGAGAAGCAGAATCAAGATTCGCACCCAGGCCCTCTGGCTCCACATCCTGTGCTCTCCACACTGCGGCACACTGCCTCCTCTGCCTCCAGCTCTTCTTGCTCCAAATAAGAGACGCCTGCCTGCCCGCCCGCACAAACTGTGCAGACCCTAGCTGCCTGCAGCACCCCCAGGGAAGCCTGGGAGAGAGACGAGGCCAGACCGACTTCTCCTCTCGCCACCGCTGGCCACGAGCCCTCAGCTCGTCCCAAGCCCTTTCAGCCTCTTCCTAAAGACTTCAGCCCCGGAGCCAGCTACGCCGAGGCCCAGCGGCCTCTCTCCTGACTAGCCCCAAGGTCGCAGAGGGGCTGCAGAAGGCACAGCTACAGTCCCCGGCTCCGGGGCTCTTGCCGTGGACCTCTCGAGCCCCTGATGGGAGCACGGAGCATGCCATCAATCAGGGCCAGGCACAGCGGCTGGCTGGCTGAGCCCCTGGGCTCGCCTCCAAGTCCACAACAGACTGCATCTCTCCAGGACAAGCCCAGTGACCAAGCAACGGGACAGCTCCCCGTCTCCCTGGGTGACCCAAGGCTCTCCAGGAGGCCCTAGGGAAGGAGGAGGCTTCAGCAGCCCACACTTCTGACCTCACAGGAGCCTACCTCACGGCCACAGGCGGGCCGGAAGCGGCTGGCCTCGATGCTTCCAGACCCCCTGCTCACCCTGGACACATCCTCTGATTGATCATGCGGGGGTGGGGGGCGCAGGGCCATGGGTCAGGGGAGGGCTGGCGGCAGCAGAGTGCAGGCGAGGGCCGGGAGGTGTGTGGGGCCTGGCTGGGGGACCCAAGTAGCCTCACTCACAATCCCCAGGGCCCAGCCTGAGACCGCCTGGTGCCCGCCCTCAACGGCTGCCTCCGGGCAGCCGGCCCGCTCCGCCCCTCCTCCCCGTGCCCAGCCCGGCGCCCACCGCACGGTCTGCGCAGACAAGCAGCGTGCAGAGCAGGGAGTCCTTGCCTGTGATGCCATAGGTCCTGACGCAGTGGAACGCTGCTCCCCCATTCGGGATGGGCTCCTGGCGCCTGGAGACCTGGGGAAGGGGAACACCGTGGTGGGTTTTAACATGGACCTTTAAGTAGGAGGCAGAGGAGAAACCTAAACGAGACAAAAGGAGATGAGATCCTGCCGCCAGCACCGAGAGACCTCAGTTTCCCCGACTGCATCTGGCTGCCAGGCTCGCGCTAGCGGGGGCCCCGGCTCGGTCTAGGTGGGCGAGGCTGGGGCAGCGGCGTCCGACCGAGGCAGCCCAGGCGTGGGGAGGGCCCTGACGGGTAAAACTCCTGGAGGGCAGAGCCGAGCGTCCCAGATCTGAGCAAAGGGCTCAGGAAACGTTCGGTGGTGGAAGAGACCAGATGCCAAAACATCTCCATCCCTCCTCGCCCCTGGGACAAATAACCAGCCTCCTTGGACAAATAGTCAGCGTCCTTGGCTGTCTCAGGGGCTGGTTCAGACTGTCCAAACTTAGTACAAGAACAGTCACTGAACCAAGAGATTCCGCTTGTGGAACGAGGGGGAAGAGTCCGATTCCGCCAAGCTGGAGTTGGCCTCGCTCTCCTTAGATGGGGCAAGAATCTCCACAGGGAGATGGAGAGGGCCGGACGATCAGAATCAACGGGGCAGGGGGAGAGGGGAGATCTTGGCCTAACTCAGCCCTGGCATCTGAGAACCAGCAAAGCAGGAGTCGGTGTTGGTTTTTTTAAGAAAATAAAAGAAAGCAAATGCCCTCTTTGGTGTCCAGGGAAACCAGAGGAGATCAGACCTTACGGGCCAAGTTCCCCTGGGCTCCTTCCCTGTGACACAGTCGAGAGATCTCGCTTCTTTGGGGTGAGGGTTTGCTTTTGAATTGCAACCTCGGGAAATAACTATGAAGTAACTGTTGATATCTTCTGAATTGCTAAAGTACTTTTAAAATTGGGAAGTCACATTAAAGGGACAGAGTCATCTCTGTTTCTACGTCTCCTCATCCCACAGGTTTCCGACACCGGAGTTATACTTTCAGAGCCGAGAGGCTTTGGAGGTCCACTCTGACTCTCTAGAAAGTGTGAAATGAAGATGGTGCCTCTGCCGTTAATCTCCATCCATTTGCTTGAAACCAAAGCCGTAGTGAGGAGTGTGATTTCTGAGGTTTCTCTAGCTAATGCTGCTCTCCAGTTTGTCTGGAGTTTCTGACTCCAGACTCTTCTTCTCCCAGACTCTTCCTGAGTCCAATGACACCACTGGCTTTAATACGCATGTCTCCAAATCGGGATATTATGAAAGTCTAGCCATTTTAGAAGATTTAAAACATTTTTTTGGCAGAGGGCGTGGGGTAAAGTGACTACATCCCTTTAACCCAGTAATAATTATTCAGCTTGAATACACTTAGAACTTTTGTGATTTTTTTTTTAAAGACATGACCACAGTAAAACAAGCAGGCCCACTTGTATAGGACCAAATGGTTCTGAAGGATGGCCCACTATAGACCTAGAAAAGTCACTCATCTGCTCTTTATTTTGACTGTCATGTCCTGATGAATTCCACTGGCACAGCTGGGCTGGGGTCCCAGCACAGACACTTCTGGGCACAGGCCAGGGCTTGTGTGCAGACAGCTTGTGGTCAGCCTGGAGGCATATGGGAATGGGAGCAGGGGATGCCCCCCTCCTGCCTTCCTTACTCTGAAGTGCACAGATCGGTGTGGAGGAGAATTCTAGTTATTCTGCTGTCCAGTCCCTGACCCCTAACAGCATCTGTGTGTGTGTGTGGGGGGGGGTCATACAGAGCCTATGCATCTGTGCTGTGCGGATGGATTAGCACAGAAGCTCTCTGAGAGCAGGGCATCTCTGAGTATAGCACCTAGCCCAGGGGTGAAAAGATAGTAAGACACTCAGCAAATGTGCAGAAATGACATGGGATTGGAAAAGAAGCCTCCTACACTTTAGAAAGGCTGAACGGGCGCTCCCAGAGGAAGAGGAAGAGGCTGGTGGTGGAGGAGGAAGGTAAGGGGCAAAGCACGGGAAAGTCTGCTGCTGCCGCACATAGAAACGGTTTCATTCTTTGTACTTCTATCCCCAACAGGGCACACAGTGAGGGCTTGACAAATACTTGTCAATGGACGGATGGATGGTGGGTGGGAGGGGCTCTGGAAATTGCTGCTTCGGGGGGGATGGACTAAATCTTACACTGGTGTCTGGTCCTTGTCTGATAAAATTGCTTGGTTCTCAATAGAGAAAGTGAGTAAGGTTTGAATGAAATCTCCTTCCTGCTTTGGGGACTGGGTCATAAATGGGTCCAGAAATTGGCCTGGAAGCAATGCTCAGAATGCAAGCTCTCGGAGGGCAGGGCTGGGATTTTGCTATGTCTTTGTACTCCTTAAATCTCCAGTTCCCTGCATGAAGGCACTAGATGGACCAATTGTTATTGGACAGGAAGCTGAATCGATGGCACGGCTCTGCGGGCACTGGACGCTGGGCAGTGTGTCTGGCACCTAAGCATAAGGGCAGATGGGAACCTAACGGAGCAGCTCATGAGTCGGGCTGCACAGATCACCCCCTTCCTGTCCTGAAAGGGCCTGAGTCTTATTTTTGTGACTGGCCCCTGAGGAGGGGGTGCACCCAGCTTTACCTGGCTTTGCCTAAATGAGGCTGCTGGGAGATCTGGGAACCCTGGTTCCTTCTTTCTTCCTTTCTTTCTTTTTCCGATCATTGAGCTATTCTGGATATTAGGAACACCCCAGCAAGAGCTAAAGCAACTTCCAGGAGAACAGGGCACTGGGCTGGTCTCGACTGCAGCTCCAAGGGGCAAGGAGACATGAAGACAAAGGTGAAGAGGGCCCGAGTAGAGCTTTGGGGCAGAAAGCATCTCAGGAGCCGAGTGCCTGGGGTCAGAACCCTGGCAGCGAGGGGGCCCGTGAAATGGAGATGACAACATCTGCTTGCTCACTCGGCCGCCAAACCAGGCCACAACTTCCACCCTCCACCGAGAGCCCACCAGTGCTCTCCAAACCTCCTGATTCCCAGGGGCTGCACCTCTGGTGATGGGAGCAGTCCACGCAGGACGTGGGTAGCTTCTCTGGCTAGCTGCAATCCCCGGGGGGAAGAAATCTTCCTTTATCTGGTCCTGCTGCTGGGCTAGGGGGGAGACACACACACACACTCACACACACACCCACACCCACACACACACACACACACACACATCTCCTCTCTGTTAAAACTAAACAGATAATGAATAGCTACTCCTGTCCTGCTGTTAAACTCCACTATTCCTTCCAATGCTGAAAATGGGTTAGGCCTGGCCCTTCCATTCCCCCAGCTCCCATCTTCCTTCATGGCAAACTCCCCACCCTCACAAATAAGGCACTCCATGGTGCTCCAGCCCCCTGCCCCGCCCCTTCTCCACCATCATTCTTGACAACTTTTGTCCAACTACAACTAGGGCTTTCAGGCCGTTAGGCTTCTAACCAGAGGTTTGCTGCTGGTAAATGTTTAACGAGTAGCTCTCAAAAAACAAAATGATACACTTTTAAGTTTAACCTGCCCCATTCACGCGGTCTCCATCATTTTTTAAAGTCTAGACAGTCAGTAAAACAATGAATCAAGTCCTGGTTTGTAGCGTTTGCTGATTTCTGAGGTATGAAGGCTCACGCTGAAAACAGAACAATGCCTCAGGAGCTGGCACAAGCTGGCTCCAGCCCCCTCTCGTGCCTCGCCCCAAAGAGTTCTGGGCTCCAAAGCAGTAGAGGGATGTTGGGGATTTCCCAGAATTCATTAGAAAGGGCCTGGAGGTCCCACCACGTGAGGTGCATCTCCTCCCTGAGCCAGGCAGGTGGATGTCTGGCCCCCAGAAGCAAACATCCTCCAGGGATGACTGCTATGCCGTATCTCACCCCGTTGATGAACGGAGATGGTGGACGTGACCCTACGTACACAAACCCCCGGAAGGAATGCTGCTGAAACCGTCTCTACAACACACAAAGAGGCACAGCCCTGGACTGAAGGCGACCCAAAGCAGCCCTTGGCCATTCTTGGTATCCCCAGCACATGACACAGTGCCTGGCACACAGCAGGTGCTTAATAAATGCGTTTCTCGACTGTCTAGAATGGCTAGGGTCAGGGAATCTTCTTAAGTGAGGCTCTACACCAATTTTCTCTATCACAGAAGGAAATAACAATACGTCTTAAGCTCCCATGTCTCCCTGTACATAGATGGCGGCTTAAAAACGTCTCTGATGTCCAGAGATGATGCCTCATCTTCCATTCTCTGCCAGAAGTCCTCTGCTTGATTCTTTTTCTACATCTGTACAAGGAACCAGCCTATACTCATAATTCTAGGAAAAGTACTCTGCAAACCTCAAAACATTAAAGCAAATGCTTTATTTTTTTCTTCTCCTCTGATTAAGAAATGGACCATATCCTGTCCCTCTGACTTCCCAAGATGGGTCAGCCTAAAGTTGACTTTTCTTCTGAGGCCCTGGAGAAAGGCGGCCATGAGCCTCCAGGGCTGAGGCCCAAGGACGTGCCATCTGCAACCTGGATCCAAATGCGGCCCTTCTGAGAAAACATGGTCTTCGATGTCATTGTTTCTGAATCACATATCCCAATGACTAAGTCTGTGTTCCAGCAGCCACACCACCCTCTGCCAGCTCTAGGAGAGAAAACCATATAAATCTTGTAAAATGTCCATTGTTTTCATTAGCGGCCTCTTCACCCGGGGTCTGTTCCTAATCTGTTCAGCTTTTTCCATGTCCTATCATAGTCCGTGGTCTCCACTCTCTGGTCTTCACTTCACTGTCCAGAGCTGAGTCCATTAACGAGGTTCCATGGGGTCCCCTTGTCCTGGAGACAACAGCTAGGATTCTCCAATTCACCTGAGAGGACCAGCATCGTCTCTCACTGGCCTCCACAAAGTTTACCGGATGCTAGCAGCCATGATAACGGAAGATGGTTGTGGAAACACTGGCCAACAGTTGGCTTGTCTGGGTTTGAAGGGGTGCTTAGGCACCGTCTGAAAGCTCCGTCTGACTGGAGGAGGGGTGAAATCCCATTGGCTCAATGTCTCGCCCCCACTATACCCCAAGCACTTTAATCCAGCTACATACAGCCTCCACATCCAGCCCAGCTGGCCTGCCTGTACATCCTTCCTACAAGCACTACTGCCACCTCACGGAGGCGTCCAAAAACTTGAGGGTCTCCTAACTTTCTGGAAATGCTGGCTTTGCAATCAGCTTTACCCAGGTTCTCCTGTTAGGGGCATCTGATGAAAACATCAGCCCCGGGGGCCAGTGAGACGAGTCTCTGATTTCCCACGCTGTGACTGCCCCACGCCATCGTGGCCTCAGTCTGTGAGCCACCAGGCGACGTGCTGCCCCTCCAGCCCCTCTGCTGAGGGCTGTTATTAACATCACTTCACATCTGTGAAGCATCTGGAAATTTCTTGGATATTTATGCCGAGGTTCACAAGGATGGTTTACCTAAGGGACTGCCAGAAGTCATGCTCTCTCCCATAGTAGTAGTAGTAGTAGTAGTAGTAGTAGTAGTAGTAGTAGTAGTAGTAGTAGTAG